ATGAAAAAATGTTCATCATCTCTAGCAATTAGAGAAATGCAAATCAAAACTACTCTAAGATACCATCTCACTCCAGTCAGAATGGCAACTATTATGAAGACAAACAACAATAAGTGTTGGCGAGGATGTAGGGGAAAAGGCACACTCATATATTACTGGTGGGACTGCAAATTGGTGCAGCCAATATGGAACGCAGTATGGAGAGTCCTTGGAAAACTTGGAATAGAACCACCATTTGACCCAGCTATCCCTCTCCTCGGTCAATACCCAAAGGACTTAAAAACAGCATACTACAGGGACACATTCACATCAATGTTTATAGCAGCACAATTCACAATAAATAAACTGTGGAACCAACCTAGATGCCCTTCAGTAGATGAATGGATTTAAAAAATGTGGCATATATACACAATGGAATATTGCTTAGCAATAAAAGAGAATAAAATCATAGCATTTGCAGGTAAATGGATGGCATTGGAGAAGATAATGCTAAGTGAATTTAGCCAATCCCCCCCCCAAAAAAAAAACAAATGCTGAATGTTTTCTCTGATATAAGGTGACTGACTCATAGTGGGGTAGGGAGAGGGAGCATTGAAGGAATAGACGAATTCTAGATAGGGCAGTGGGGGGAAGGGAAGGGGCAGGGGATTAGCAATGATGGAATGTGGAATGTGATGGACTTCATTATCCAAAGTACATGTAGGAAGACATGATTTGGTGTGAACATACTTTATATACAAACACATATATGAAACATTGTGTTCTATATGTGTAATAAGAATTGTGATGCATTCTGCTGTCATGTATTTAAAAAAATAAAAGCAATTAAAATTTTTAAAAACTCAAGAATCTATAAATCTATAGCCTAAAATGATTGGCCACCAATGACTTACACATACCAGTCACTGTTCACAGTTGATGCTGTATTTATTTTCATCTTAGACCTAGCTATATGTTTTTTGGAAGTTCTGTGTTACATATGTATTTTAACAAGGAAAAATAATTAAATTATGCTTTAATTTGAATAATTTCTTGACATGAACTGTTGTTTTGTCTCACTGAGAATTTTCAACTGGAAATATTACACAAACTGCATATATTACATAAACTTGTGAATAACTAGGAAATAATCCTTCTGTGCTATGACATTCTTAAATGTATAGGCAAATATTAAAATTCTTTTGATGCCTAACATTAAAAGGAGTTAAAAGGGAAAAAAAAGAAACTGTGGTGTGTATGTATATGTGTGTGTATATATATATATATATATATATATATATATACACACACAAACACACACACACACACACAATGGAATATTACTCAGTCTTAAAGAAGAATGAAATTATGGCATTTGCAGGTAAATGGACTGAGCTGGAGAATATCATGCTAAGTGAAATAAGCCAATCCCCAAAAACCAAAGGCCAAATGTTTCCTCTGATTTGAGGATGTTGATACATATTGGGGGTGTGTGGCTAGGTAGGGAAGAATGGAGGAACTTGGAATTGAACAGAGGAGAGTGAGGAGAGGGGAGGGGAGGGGGTATGAGGGTGGAAAGAATGGTGGAATGAGATGAAGATGATTACCCTGTGTACATGTACAAATGCATGAATGGTGTATCTCTGCATCATGTACAGTCATAAATGAGAAGTTGTGCTCCATTTGTGTACAGTGAGTTGAAATGCTTTCTACTAACATGTATAACTAATTAGAACAATAAAAAAATTTAAAAAGAGCTCTATCATTAAGCTATATACCTATTCATAACATACTGTTCTTAAATTAGGGTATAAGGTGATATACCAAGGCAAAGCCATATCTCCGTAAAGCATCTAACCTAGTTTAAACTCACAAATTAAGGCCACAAATCTTAACAGGACCCACAAGGCCTTTCATGATTTTTCCTCTACTTTCCTCACCAGACTCAGCTCATGCTACAGCTCCCTTGTGTTAGTACAATTACAATGGCTTTCTCAAACTGAACTTGAATACTTTATTTTGTTAATCAGCTCTTTCATACAGTGTTACCTCTGCTGGACCATGGATCCATTACCTCCCAGTTTCTATCTTTTGCTGAGCTAAGTCCCAGAATAAAGTTTAGACATCATGGATCTCTACCCCACTTCATTTGGTAATGTCACTGTAGACTCCCTCTTCTAGGAATGATTATTTTGTTATATTCCCTTATCAACACTGTGTATCTTGATGATGTATTATGTTAATTCATAAGTATTCCCAGACTTTTACCTCCATCTTTTTTTTAAAACAAACCACAGCATTCACCTATTATTTCCCCAAAAGTCTTCATCCAAATTACAGTTTTTGTTTTGTTTTGTTTTGCAGTGCTAAGAATCAAACCCAGCTTTGTGCACACTGGACAAGTGCTCTATCCCTGACATATGCCCCCAGCTCCCAGAATTCTTTTAATTAACAAGCTTTTATCTAATAACATTTTGTTCTTTAAATTAGAGAAACTTCTTTATAAGGGACAGTAGTCATATAATTCACAATTACATAAACTCTGTATTCATAGCAACATAATACATACTGTAAAATCAATCCGTCAACCAGAATCTCTCTCTCCATCACTGCTGTTTTATATTGTGTGTGTACGTTCATGCTTTAGTAGATAAGGGAAAGGATATAGTAACAAAAGTCTCTAGAACAAAAATATGGTTGAAAAGTACTGAAATCATTATGAAGAATTTTCAGAAACATTTTAATTAAGGTTTGTGAAAATTACGACATTTTTAATAAGGGAAGCATAAAAAATAAAAACTATCAAATAGTACCTTGGACATTCTTCTTAAAAGAAATCATGCTCTACCATAAATTGTTCTCTATATAGCTACAGAGTGGATGGATAGATGTAAGCAAAGAGAAATAAGGTGCATGGATTTAATTATAACTTGAAGGAGTGTCTAGGAAAGATAGAGACAGTTATGTGAGTCTATGCTTAGGAAGAGGACCTGGCAAGTTATAAGGTCTAGGCAAAAGTGATTTTTAACCAGGAAATTTTTTTTAAAGTATAGAATCTTTAAACATTACAATATCTGGTCTATCTTAGGGCTCTTTTTCTGTTTCTCTTTTTAATATTTATTGGTTAGGGCAATCACTAACTGCTATAATTTACATGTCCCAGCTGTATAATGGCAGAGGTTTAACTGAAGATTAATTCTTGCACTTGTAACAGCCTGAAGTCAATGAGTGACTTTCTTTTCCTAGGCAACTCAAAGACCTAGGCTCCTTTCATTGTGTTATGCTTTATCAGTCCCTAGGATTCATTGTCATATCTATATTTTGCCAGCAGGACAGGCAAAAGTGTTTAAAGAGGGTATGTCTGCTTTCTAAAAAAGCATGGCTTTGAAATGGTTCACATGATTTCCTTTCACATCTCATGGTGGCTAGACTAACTGCAAAGGAACCTGAGAAATTCAGTCTAGGAAGATGGAGAAATGAATTTTTGGTAAATTGCTGGCATTCTGTGTCACATACACTGGTTTTTCTTTGTTTTGTTTTGGTTCCCTTTTTGCACTTAAGGGGCTGATTTTTATCTCTTTCTTTATATGGTTAACACCATGTTAAAATCCAAACTCCTTTGCAACATATCAGATCTGTAACAGGTTTCCCTCAATTTATCTCTTTAATCCCATCATTTTCTACTTTGCCAGTTTATATTTATATCCACATTACATTACCCACTATTCTTCAAATGTGCCACACACTTGAATACTTTCAAACTTCAGCTCATGCTGTATCTTCTTCCTAGAAAACTTCTCTCAGACTTTGCCAGTTCCTCAGGTTTTATGCTCATATTAGGTTTCACCCTTCCTTGGCTCCTTCCTGCCTTATTCTTTATTCTTTATTCTTTATAACCCTTCTTTCAATTTCTTCACAAATTCCCTTTGAACAGTTATCACCTTTTATCATAATAACTTCATATCTATCTTTCATAGAAGCTAAGTTTGAATCCTTAATGCTAAAACAAAGTAAGTACTCAGCATTAGTAAAGAAATTTGAGTTTGATTGTTTTAAATTGTCCATTTAGAAACTTTAAAAACTGAGAAACAGTTCTATTTCTAAAATTGTCTAGATGGAGCATATCAGATATGTGATGCAAAATTTATAAGAAGAAAAGTTCCTGGCACCAATTAGAACTATCATTTACCCTTTTTCTCTCTCTGCCTCCCATCCTCTTCACCAGTTCTAAAAACTTTGGAAATTAGAAGGGATAAACTATTTGTTTTTAAGGCTGTTACCAATACCTGGGTTATTTTTGAAACTTGTTTATAAGGCATCATTGAAGAAAAAGTTAAACTTCACTGGTTGATATGATCCCTAAGGGAGGAATTTGTGTTCTATTAAAAAAGTGAGAGCTTGAAGTAAAAATAACTAATGATGGCCATATAAAGATATATATTCAAAAATATTGCTGAAGTAACATATTCTTTTCATATTTTTTATTTATTTCCTGAATGTAATTTTACATATTTGGCTCATTATAAAAATGTATTTGAAAATTATAGTGTTTATAGCTAAGTTTTTTTATGAACTCAGTATTTACAAAGAACTTTTATCATAAAAATCCTGTTTCCTTTATTGTATGGCTCCAGATTTAGTAGGAATCTCTAAACAATGTACAGATAATTTATGAACTGAAATTCAGTCCCTCTTCCTTTCTCTCTCTCTCTCTCTCTTTTCCTCTCTCCCTGTCTTCTTCTCCCTCCCTCTTCCTCTTCCCCACCCTCCCTTCTAAAGATTAAACCCAGGGCTTCATGTTTGCTATGCAAGTGCTCTATCACTGAACCACAACCCAGCCCCATTTTTCTCTACTTCTGACATATAGTTATTGTCCCCAAAATAATTATTCCTGAACTAATAGTATTTATTTACATTTATTTTATAGTTTATAAACATTTGGTACAGCCTTATGGTCATTTTTGAAAACAGAATTTTGCTGTGACATTGTTCACATGGTCTCATTTTTTTCTTTTTAACAGAGATATGACGGAAGTTGTACATATTAAAGATAGGAAGGAAGCAATTCATGAGTTAAAATATTCACCAGATGGAACTTACCTTGCTGTTGGCTGCAATGACAGCTCAGTTGATATTTATGGAGTTGCTCAGCGTTATAAAAAAGTTGGTGAATGTGTTGGATCACTTAGTTTCATCACTCATCTGGACTGGTCCTCAGATAGTAGATATTTACAGACAAATGATGGAAATGGGAAAAGAATTTTTTATAGGATGCCAGGTAAATTTTTCTAGTAAAACATATATAGTTTGTAGATTTTTAGTGTCTATAAAATATTTTAGAATTTCACAAGAAGTAGCAAATAAGTTTCATTTGAGCATAGGAAATCAAGGATGAACTGAGCTAACATTTCAAGCATTTCTTTTCTATGGGGCTACCACATTATGTTGAAATTCTCTAGGATTCCCCCCTGAGGATTATTGAGATACAATTGACATATAAAAGTTGTATATATTTACAATGTACAGTGTGATGTCCTTATGTACATATGCTGTACATTGTGAAATGTTTTCCACAATAAAGATAATTAATATATTCATCACTTCACAGAGTTACCATTTTTTGTTTGTGGTAAGAGCATTTAATACCATATCTGTTGGCAGATTTAAAGTATACTATGCAATAATATATTATTAATTGTAATCAACATGCTATACATTAAATCTGCAGAATTTATTCATCCTGTATAACTGAAACTTTGTACTCTTTGCCAAGATCTCCCCATCCCCACCACTTCTCCCAGTCCCTAGAAACCACCATTCTGTATTCTTTTGTTTCTTAATTAAACCTCCTTTACTTGAAGAATTGAAGACAGACTTATATTAAATTTCACACCATGTGACCAGTATATGGTAAAATTCCACTGTGTATTAGAGTCAAATGTCATCTTTTGGGTGAAACTAAGTAAATATAATTGCTACAAATGTGTAACCATAAATTATTTATCTGTTTGTGGTTGCCTCAAATAAATTTTGCAAATACTAATAATCTAGCTAACAAACTAAATCAAAGATTTAAAAATAGAAGAATAAAAACAATCATTAAAATATTAACCTTGTAGTACTTTAGTTAATATGATGTTTAATTAGTCCCTATCTTCCAAGAACTTATTAAATAAGATGAGCCACATAAATTACTGTTTTTCTGCAAAAGTTTTTCATTAGTGATCTATATGTAATGAAAATTTACTGAGTCCTAAAATTCTTTTACCAGATGTAAATGTATTACTCTCCACCAATCCTACCTTTTTTGGTATTTTTTAGTTCTCTTTGTAAGTTATGTGTCTTAGGTTTCTCATAGCCACTTTCTCATAGCTTTTACTTCTCTTATAACTCACCCTGTTGTGGTTAATCTGTGTCATTATTTTAATAGGATTCACATAGTGAACCTGCTAAGCCATAAATCATATTAAATCTATGTATGTCTCTGAATTAGTATAATTCCATTGGTGGCTTCTTTAAAAAGCTTCTTGCATTTTGTTTTCTCCTTAACCACACTTACTTTTTCCCGTAGTCTCCTCTAATTGGGGTGGGAAATATTTAAAATTTGAGATCACCATGTTATCAGTAAAATTTAAGCTTGAGTAAAAAAATAAGTGAAATAACTTCTTAAATTCAGACTGATTTATTTTTAGGGGGAAAAGAAGTGACAAGTAAAGAAGAACTCAAAGGTGTTCATTGGGCTTCATGGACATGTGTTTCAGGCCTTGAAGTAAATGGAATTTGGCCCAAATATTCAGATATCAATGATATAAATTCAGTAGATGGAAATTATATTGGCCAAGTTTTAGTTACAGCTGATGACTATGGAATTATAAAATTATTCCGATATCCATGTTTAAGAAAAGGTATCTCTTCTTTTAAATATTTTAAGTAAGCTCTTATAAAAGACTTATGTTCTTGCAGAAAATCAATCTTGAAATAGGTAACAGGATTTCATATTTTTAAAAATGTATACTGCTTGGTAAAGGCCTTTATTTTGCAAGTTCTGTATTATTGTCATATGTTACATTTATTTTTGGTCATGAAGTTTTTATTATGAAATTATTTTGAATTTATACATTATAACAAATGGACTAGACCTGTTTCTTCTTTTTTTTTAGTAACTTTATTTATTTATTTACTTTTTAATGTGGTGCTAAGGATCAAACCCAGTGCCTCACATATGCTAGGCAAGTACTCTACCACTGAGCCACAACCTCATCCCCAAGACCTGTTTTTTTTTTTTTTTTTTAATTTTTTTCTCCCACTTCCTGAATTGTTTCATGTAGTTAAATTGCAATGATGGTTATACTTTTCTTATCACTTATTATCTTTAATAATTTAGCTTATCGTATACATATATTTTGGGAGAAATTTTATTTTATTTTCTCAAGAATCTAAGGAAGTAGTCCAGTGTATAAACTCAGAACTTACTAACTTGTTGGTTTTGATGAATGAGCATGTTTTGCTTCAGTCTTTAGCATTTTTTGTTTTGACATTGATTTTCAATAATAGATGTAAAAAATGATTTTTTATTTGTTGTTTCCTCTATACTTTATGTATCCTTTTTTATTGGATGTCTTCTAAAATGATGATATCAATCATTCTATTCACAGATCTGGGGATCATTGAATGAAATGCTATATTAGTAATCTTTCATCTGTTCCATGCATTGTTTCATAAAGTTTTTAAATCAATTTATAACAAGTCTATTAATACTGAAATAATTAAAGAATCAGTACCAGAGGAAATATAAATAGAAGTACACATTAAAACAAGATAAAGAAAATGAATTTGATTTGATTTGAATCAAATCAAATTTGATTCTGAGCTTCCTGTAAACAAAAATAAAATGAATCAGGGCACAAAATAGTTTTCATTGTGGATTTTTTAAAAATTCATTCTTATTCCTTAGGAAAATCCAAGTTTCTTCTGAGCTTTAATTGTCAAAGAATTCTTTTCTATGCATGGATCTTTATATTAGGTGCAGTTAATGTTCTAGAACATCCATACTTATAGTAGATGCTATAATGAGATTTACTTGGCTTGTTGATAAAAGCTATTGGACAAACATTAGAATGCAGATTATTGGAACAGCTAATATAGTTTGATCAGATATGTAGTCCACTGATATCAAACTTAAAGGCTCAAATTTCTCAGAAGCCGAGGCTGGTATTTCTACTGGGGGCCTCTGTAGTGAAGTAATGAGTTCAAGATCCTGTCTCCTTTGCCATGTTATTGATTCTGCCTGTGTGATGTCAGCTTCTCAGATGCATACAAATTCTTCCATATGTAACTCTAAGTATATTAATAAAGACTAGCTAAATATCTAGCAATTAAAGTACCCTGTTTCAGGCTGGGGTTGTAGCACAGTGGTAAATTGCTTGCTTGCCTAGTAAGAGTGAGGCACTGGGTTCGATCCTCAGCACCACATAAAAATAAATAAAATAAAGGTCCAACAATAGCTAAAATAAATAAATAAATAAATAAAGTACCCTGTTTCTAGATCTCACCACATAGCCAGGACATGAAAGTCACCATGCCTGACAACTCTTAAGATGATACTTGTCTGCTTGTCGAGCTTCAGTAATAATTATGATTTTAACATTAGACATTGCTCCCATTAATTGCTTCACATACACTGACCTCCATGTAAAAACAAAATACTATAATTTTCTGAGTTTTTTAAGTCAATTGAATGGGCTTCATTGACAATTTATCTTTTGCAAATGTGAAGACAGTATTATTTTTGCTTAATAATTTTACTTCATTTATATAATGAAATTAAATATGTAGTAGTCTTCTGAATTACTATGTGAATATTTAACCAAAGTCTAATAAAATTAGTTTTGTGTAAGAGATTTCTCCTTGCTTCAAGAACATATATTGTTTTTCTTTGTTTCCTTTTTTAAAAAAATGTTTTATCTATATGGGGTTCTGAGAATCAAACCCAGTGCCTCTCACATGTAGGCAAGCACTCTGCCACTGAGCCACAACCCCAGCTCTCTTGTTTCCTTTTTGTTAGTAATTTATTTTATGGTAAGGATGATTTTTATTTCTAGGCACTTGTGAGTCAGCTTGAGACTATAGCTAGGTAAGTGAAAGAAAAGATAGGATATTACTATTGCATATTTAAATAATTAGTAGAGGTATTTTAAGATTCTATGTTTATTGAATTCACATACTTGAATACTTTAGCATTATTACTAGAAAAAAATCTCTTTTATATTGTTATATTGTCCAATTTAAGATTAGGAAAAGGTTGTATCTGATTTGATAATACATTTTATTTCAATTCAGTAATGAGGAGTGAACCCAGGGGTGCTTTACCACTGAGCCACGTCTCCAGTACTTTTTAGTTTTTGTTTTGAAACAAGATTTTTTATTTAAATATTTATTTTTTAGTTGTAGTCGGACTCAATATCTTTATTTTTATGTGGTGCTGAGATTTTGCTAAGTTGCTGATGGTCTTGCTGTATTACTGAGACTGTCCTCAAACTTGCAATCTTCCTGCCTCAGCTTCCTAAATCACTGGGATTGCAAGCATGTGCCACTGTGCCCAATTTAGTAGTAATATCTTTTGGACTGAGAAAGAAAAAGGGTAGATATGAATCAGATTGGTCCTTCACTTAAGACCGAAGGCCTCAGGACAAAATAGTCAGCTGTCCTAATATTAAAACAATTGATCCTGGGCTGAGGTTATAGCTCAGCTTTTGTAGAGCGTTTGCCTTGCACTTGGGAGGTACTGAGTACGATTCTCAGCACCACATAAAAAATAAATAAATAGATAGATGAAGAAATAAATATATTGTGTCCATTTAAAGCAAAAACAATTGATCCCCAGCTTTTCTAAAAGCAGTAAGATAATGCCTCACAGCTTTTGTAGTTTCTACCAAATTATACTGTGAAGTAGTAGAGGAAATAATGTTTACATCTCTCGATATCAATACATTTATTTGTTCATTCTACCCATTTTTGAATTAGCATTTTTTCCATTTAATCATAATTAAGACAATGGAAGGATGATGCAATGATTTATGTATAGAAATTTGCTATTTGCAGTAGTGTTTTGTATGTTGAAATTTGTGCATAATTTAAAGATATATTTTCATTATAGGGGCCAAGTTTAAAAAATACATTGGCCATTCAGCTCATGTAACTAATGTCAGATGGTCACATGATTATCAGTGGGTTATTTCTATTGGTGGAGCAGATCACTCTGTCTTTCAGTGGAAATTTATTCCTGAAAGAAAACTAAAAGATGCTCTTCACATAGCACCCCAAGGTGAGTAGTATGAATCACCTAAACAATTTCCCCATGAAATAACTCTTCAAAAACTTGAAGATGACAATTTTACCATTGAAGTATAATCTAGTTTCATAAATTCATAGTATAGTTTGTTATTAGCAGAAATTTTGAATTAAACCTTAGATCTATATTAAGTCAGATATCAAAGAATGGGATATAAAGTACTTTTGTTTGCAGTTTGTCAAATGATGAGTAAAGAAATGGTTATGTTAATAAAATCAGAGATGGGTGTTTAGATTTTATGTATGCTTTTTAAAAAAGAGAGTATATATATATATATATATATATATATATATATATATATATATATATAATGTCAATTCTTTTGCTATGTGCAGTATTTTTTAGCTATTTTCATGGAAACTATAGGTTATATGCACTTATATAAGTATATTATATATACTTATAGTCATTGGGGGAGCCAGTGAAGGGATTTAAAGGAGCTATTGAGTTTGCAATGAGTGGAGAGGAAGATAATCTGTAGTACAGTTTACTCACATCTGTGTCACTTGAATAGGTAATTTCATTTGATTGCTCTATGGCTTGTCTCCATGTCAATTGACCTAGCTCTCAATCATTAATCTTACATTGCTATTTTGAAAATAAATCTTCTTTGAACAAATGACATTTCATTTTCAAAAATTACAGAAAGTCTGGCTGACTCTAACAGTGATGAATCAGATTCAGACCTGTCTGATGTTCCAGAACTGGATTCCGAAATTGAACAAGAGACACAGCTCACCTATCGTCGGCAGGTAATTTTCTATTCAAGCAATTTTTTTCCCCTGGAAACTTCAGTTCCGTCTTTATCATGCTCCATGCTGTGTATCTGTTATCTTTTGTGGCTTAAATTCTCTAGTAGTGTATGACTCTTTCAGTTTTCTCACTTTAAACATTAAAGCACACTTGTATAAACTGTTCTTTTATGTTAAATGCTTGATATACTAAGTATGCCTGTATTCTCTTAGCCTAAGATTTTTGAAACAGTACACTCCCAGTTATTCCTTTTGAAATATTCTCTTAAGTATAAAAATTTCCTGGAACACTAAATATGTGAGTTTGTTCTTTCTAAAGAAGTACATTTTGTAAAAGTACCTTCCTATTGAAGACAATTGCTAAAGTTGATTAAGAGTAACCATATGTCTAAAAGTTATGTTAGGGGTATGAGCACCTTTATGAATGTCTTCCTACTTATATACATTTTTAAAGGTTTACAAAGAAGAGCTACCTCAGCTTAAAGAACAATGCAAAGAAAAACAAAAAAGTGCTACTTCTAAAAGAAGAGAACAGGCTCCAGGAAATAGTATCCGATTACACTTTGTTCATGGGTATGAAACAATTGTTTTTCATTTCTGTGTTTGAATTTTAGTTCACACTTATTGTGTAACTTGCTCCAAGTCACACAATTGACTAGCTCTACTAACTGTGTGTGCCTTTAAACAAGTTACTTAACCTCTCTGTAAAATGGAGATAACAATACCTCCTAAAGTTCTGATTAGGAGCAAATAAAGCTGTGATATTGTTGACTTAGAATAGTGCCTGAAACATAATAAGCACTGAATAAGTGTTAAAAATAAATATTTAAAAGTTATTAAAAATAAATTTGTCTTATGGAAGTTCAGTATTATTAAATTGGACATCTTGTCTTTAAAAATATGAGATAATCATCTTCCTTAAATGTGACTAATTTAAAATAATATTGTCTTTCTTTTTGACTGAGCATTTTGGCTTTTGTGTATTAATTTCAATAAAATATTAGAATTTCTGGATTCTAAGAGAATCCAGAACTTGGCAATACAAGTTTCATATGTCAGCTTGTCAGCAACAGGTTTTCCAATCTGATTCTATTTACCCCTATCCCAGCCCTCATTTTCTTATCAGACTGATAATACTTTCCAAGAATTTAAGAAAGGATTTATTTATTAAGATTATTTTCTCTCCACTGGTAAAACAGGCAATATTTCTATTCAGTTGTGCTTTATAAATTGGGTTTCTTTGAAGCACAAAGCAAGGTTGCTACAGACAGAATTATATTGACATTTTAAGATTTGGTTATTGGTTGGGGACATGGCTTAAGTGGTAGCACGGTCGCCTGGCATGCGTGAGGCACTGGGTTCGGTCCTCAGCACCACATAAAAGTAAAGACAATATCTTTTTATATATTTACTTATTGGTGGACACAGTTGTCCACCTAAAAAATAAATAAATAAATAAATGATATTTTTAAAAAGATTTGGTTACTTTTTCCTGAGCATAATATTTTAAAATTGCTTTTTTTAAAAAAATTTTTTTAGTTGTTGATAGTTCCTTATTTATTTACATGTGCTGCTGAGAATCAAACCCAGTGCCTCACTCACCAGGTAAGTGTGCTACTGCTGAGCCACAGCCACTTAAAATTGTTTTTTAAATTTCTTTTTGAAATATATGTTTTCACAGTTCAACATTATGCATAAAAGGGGTTTAAAACCTTCCTCTCACTTCTGCCTTCCCAACCATCATTTCCCTTCAGGCAATCACTGTTACTTAGTTTGATAAATAAAAATGCATTTATAAACAGATATGTATTATTTTCTATACCCTTTTATTTATTAAAAAAGTAACTGTTTTTGTCTTTATAAATTTAATATTATACACATGCAATTAATAGTATACTAGATATATTTTTCAGCACCTTGCTGTTTTTTGCTCAGTATTATGGTTTGGATTAGCTATTTGTAATCAGAGCAGTTCATAAATGCTTATAGCTCTAAGAAGGTGGTGTTTTCTTTTAATTGTTCAGCATTCTTTAAAACTGGAAATTAAATGACCCTAAAATTACCTATTTCTAAAATTACCTATTAGATCAAAGACCAAAACTAATTGTATGATTTGTTTTCTATATTAGTTACAGAGGTTACGACTGTCGAAGTAATCTGTTTTATACTCAAATTGGTGAAATTGTGTACCATGTGGCAGCAGTGGGTGTCATTTACAATAGACAACAGAACACACAGCGTTTTTACTTGGGTCATGATGATGATATTCTTTGTCTGGCTATTCATCCTTTGAAAGACTATGTGGCTACAGGCCAGGTAAGGTCCTTTGAAAGATTATGTGACCAAAAGCCTGATAGGTTAGACCTTTTCTGAGTTAGGTTAGTCTACTTCATTCATGTGTGTATATATATACACACACACACACACACACACACACACACACACACGAGAGAGAGAGAGAGAGAGAGAGAGAGAGAGAGTTTTTTTTCTAGGAAATGGAGAGTAAAGAATTGTTTTGAATGGGATTTTATTTTCATATTATGAAGTTTACCTCAACTTTTTCCCTACAGTTGTCCTTATAGTATAGTTGTTTTAATTATTATTATCTTAAGGGATGAGGAAGTAGGTAGAGTGATGATCTAGCACTTGTGATGCCCTGAGTTCAATCGCCAGTCCTGAAAAAAAATTTTTTTGATTATTATTTCTTGAATTTTAATTTGGAACTAAGAATACTACCTGATTTTCTTTCTGTCAGGATATGTATATTTTTAAATTTGTGAGTAGTTATAGAAAAGATGGAAGACTAGAAATTGGTTTCTTTAGATTGAGTTACTTAAAATAATAAAATACTTAACAAACATTCTGTTACAACACAGAATGACAGTGCTTTATATTTTGCAATCATGATAGCAAGCTATTCAAGTTTACCAAGACAGAAAGCACATAATCAATCCTGTTGTACATAGAAATAGTGATCTTTGTGGACTTCTTAACGAAAGGAAGGCGAGAATGGAATATTTCAATTTGCCAGTATGAAAAAGAACTGACACTTGGGGAACAGTAAACTTTTTAGAAATGTTATAAATGAAATAAATGACTGGCAATTTCACTGACAGTAAAAGGGGAAATATAAAAAGCGTTCATATTAACCAGCAGAAAAGAAACATGAGCTATTTAAAGAACTAAGAGAACTAGAAAGGCAAAGAAAACTATAGTGTTGTTTTTATTTAGGTTTTGGTAGATAATTTTGGAAATGTAAATGATTAATTCAGAAGTTCCATGTAGATTTCCTGGACTAATTCAATCTCTCTTTCAGATCTGTCAATCACAAGTTCCTGGAAAATCTGTAAATCTTCCTGTGTACTGTTAGTTAACCTCCCAGTAAATTCATTGAGAGATACTATTTCTTTGAATCCATCCCATTATTTGATTCTTGGTTTTAATTCTTGCACCACAGGAGTCTTATTAAGGAAGTTGGGGCCTAATCCCATATGATGAAGATTAGGGCCTACTTTTTCTTCTGTTAGACACAGGGTCTCTGGTTTAATTCCTAGGTCCTTGATCCACTTTGAGTTGAGTTTTGTGCATGGTGAGAGATAAGGATTTAATTTCATTTTGTTGCATATGTATTTCCAGTTTTCCCAGAACCATTTGTTAAAGAGGCTCTCTTTTCTCCAATGCATGTTTTTGGCACCTTTGTCTAATATAATTGTAATTTTGTAGGTAAGTCTCTGTGTCCTCTATTCTGTACCATTGGTCTACCAGTCTGTTTTGGTGCCAATACCATGCTGTTTTTGTTACTGTTGCTCTGTAATATAGTTTAAGGTCTGGTATAGTGATGCTACCTGCTTCACTTTTCCTGCTAAGAATTGCTTTAGCTATTCTGGATCTCTTATTTTTCCAGATGAATTTCATGATTGCTTTTTCTATTTCTATGAGGAATGACATTGAGATTTTGATCAGAATTGCATTAAATCTGAATAGTGCTTTTAGAAGTATGGTCATTTTGATAATATTAATTCTGCCTATTTCTTGAAGAACCTATAATTTAGGGGATTTTCCAGCACTGTCACCTGATAAGATGAGGACCATGGCAGTCTGGGGATCTTGAGACTGACCAGATCACCAGAAACCATCTTGAGATCACCTGATTGACACCATTCCTATATTTCTTCCTATACCTTCCCCTCACCAAGTTTCCTTTAAAAGAAGAGCTGGAAACCCCTAGAATGTATCTCTTACTCTTTGAGATGGTCCATATTCTCCCTTAAATGTATATCTGCTGTCTTAAATAAAGGTGTCTATGCCTTGTGGGGGAGGGATAGAAAGCACAAATATTGAAGTAGAAATCAGTGAGAAAAGTCTTAGTTGATACATGTCTACACAGATATCTTAGAGAAGCAAGGGAAAGAATAATGTCTGTAGATTTTTAAAAATTTTTTAGATGTTGATGGACCTTCATTTTATTAATTTATTTATATGTGGTGCTGAGAATTGAACCCAGTGCCTCGCACATGCTAGGCAAGCGCTCTACCACCAAGCCACAACCTCAGCCCTGTAGATTCTTACTCTGTAAATACTTTACTAGTTTCTGACTGTAAGTTCATTGTATTCCCTCCTCAACTCCATGAGAGTAAAATCATTTTCTTCCTTTTACAAATGAGAAAGTTCTGTTTTAGAGAAATTAAATAATTTTCTTAAGATCACTCAGCTGTTAAGTAGTAAAGTCTAAAGCCTTTAGTCTATCAGACTTTATACACTGTATAAATATACCTTTAAAAAAACCTTTTTGTTATTTTTGTTGTTCCTGGGGATATAACTCAAGGGGACTTAACCACCAGTCTCAGTAAGTTTCTTGGGACCTCGCTAAATTGCTGAGGCTGGCTTTGAGCTTGTGATCCTCCTGCCTCTTGAGTCACTGGGATTACAAGCATGTGCCAACATGCCTGGCTCCCCTTTTACATTCTCAGTTTTGCAGGGGTCAGGGAGGCAACATGCATCATCCTATATAGCTTCCCTGAGAGGAAAGAAAACTCAACCCTTTTTTCTTTCTTTTCCTTCCTCCTGCCCTTTGTGCCTTGATGAGCTCTTTTGCTTCTCCATTACTTTCCTCCCCTACCATTTTTCCTTTTGTTTTCTCCTTTGTTTCTTCCATTATTCAAAAACATTTATCAAGCACATTCTATATTGCCAGGAAATGTGCTGGAAATATATAGATAAATAAGAAGACATACATGCAAGAAAAATTGTAATACCATGTCAGAATTACAGACCAGAATTTTTCAACCTCAGCACTATTGATGACTTATGCCAGATAAAAAATTTTTTTGTTGTGGGAAGCTAACCTCTGCATTGCAGAATGTTGAGCAGCATCCCTGACATCTACTCACTAAATGCCAGTAACCCATCTGCCTGAGTTATGCTAACCAAAAATGTCTCTAGACAATGCTAGCTGTCCCCTAGGAGGCAAAATCACCTCATTTTTAAATGTAGAATCTGGTGAGAGTGTAGTGAAGAAGGACTAATGAATTGTGCCCAGTAGAATCAGGGAAAACCTGGAAGTATAACATTTATGCTGCATAGTTTACTAGCAGAGGGAAAGCATTCTAAGTCTGTCATATGATCTGTAAAATTAGGGGGTGAGGTAAAGCGCAGCTTATTTAAAGAACTGTGAATAGCCCACAGTATTCAAATCTTAGAGTGCATGATGGACATTAGTAAAAGAACTAATCAAAAAGATAGGTGGGGGCATGAGGGGCATCACCTGCCTTTAGGCTATATAAAGGGTTCCTCTTGAAGCATAGTTATATACCCAGGTGCTTTGGCAAAGAAGTTGAACCATTATTCTGATATTGCTGGAATGAAGACAGTGTAAAGAGTGGCCACTTACTACCATGATTCTGGGATTTAATGGAATTCAGGTCAGATTAAATAAAATGTCAGTATGACACTGGACATCCCTTCATACCCATCAAGCCATAGCTCCTTTGCTTACACAACAGCATTTCTGCCTTAGGCACTACAGACTCAAGGTCTATCTCCTAGAACACAGGTTTACACAGCCTTTTCAACTTCTCCCACCATTTTCCATTTCTTACCTCTGTTATATTACAGTCAACCAGTCACATCTCTATAAATTTATAAAAAGTGTTAAAACTGATTGAAATTGAACCCTTTATTAAAAAGAAAAGTGATTCTGGAGGATTCCATGTGGATGTTTTGGAATTTAACAAATCTAAAGAGTGTTTTGATTTGTTTTGTTTTTTTTGGAGACTAGAATATAAAGAATGACCTCTTGGCAGGTGAGACCTCATGGAAGAAGTTAGTTCATGGGGGTGTGCCCTTGAAAGGGATATTGGCTTTTCCTGTCTTTCTTGTTCACCTTGTGGCCACTATCAAGTATGCAGCCTCCTCTGTTTTGCACTCCCTCACATGTTCTGCCTTGCCATGGGCCCAGAGGCAAGGGGGCCAAGCAACCATGGATTGGGAAACATGAAACAAAAGAAACCTTTCCTCCTTTTAAGTTTGTTATCTCAGGTATTTTGCCATAGTGGTGAAAACCTGACTGATAAATCTCCCTGTATCCCTAAATAAAATATCACAGGTATACTCCAAAAATATTGTCTGTTCTTCAGCCAAACTGATTTTGATGTTCAAGACCATGCTTCTCCATTTATTATCTGTTGGAAAATTAACTAACATCTCTGTGCCTGTTTTCTAATTTTTTTTAAAATTTCACTTTTAATTAATTTTATTTTGGGGATGTGTGTGTATGTATGAGAGAGAGAGAGAGAGAGAGAGAGAGAGATACTGGAGATTGAACCAGGGGCACTCTACCTCTGAGGTACATCCTCAGCTCTTTTTACTTATTTTGAGACAAAGTCTTACTAAGTTACAAACTTTTGATCCTCCTGCCTCAACCTCCCAAGTAGCTCCTCGTCTTTTAAAATAAGGATACTACCAATACCTATCTTATAGGGTTCTTGTGATTGTGAAATGAGTTAACCTTTGTAAGGTATATAGAACAGTTTCTGGCACATAAGTCAGTTCTCAGTGAATGCAAGTATATTACTATTAATCATTATCATCATCATCATCATCATCATCATCATCTGTAGATGATATGTCCAGTAGGTAGTTGAAAATGTAAGTCTTAAATTCAGGAAAAAATAATGATTAGAGAGTAAGACTTAGGAGACACTTGTTGATTTAACCACTGAAACTGTGAAAGAGATACCTCAGGCAAAATTTAGAATAAGAAGCCTGTAGAATTAAAGATGAACTCTTGAGGGAGATTTGCATTTAAGAAACAGGTGATGAAAAAACATAGCAAGAGTCGAGAAGACCAGAGAACCAGGTAAGAGTAGTACTGTAAAATCACCAGAAGTATCAAAACCTGCAAAATTTAAAAGCCACTAGTAATGTTTAACTGAATAATTTAGTGAAATATTGTCTGCTTTTAGTGTTGTTTTATGTTATGTCTTCATATAAAACAAAATGTACTATAATTAAATTAACAGTCCTGTTATTTCAGGAGTTGTCATGATATACAAATATATCATGATTCTTAAAGCTAGAGGAACAATTACTTGAATTTGAGGAATAATTAAAAAATGATAGATTACCTGTATATAAGTGAATACCATAAACTAAGTATGTTAATTTGATTTTTATCAATGTGACAGAATACCTGAGATTTAAAAAAAAAAAAACTTAAGGGAGGAAAGATTTATTTTGGTTCACAGATTCAGAATGTTCAGTATACAGTTGCTTAACCTCATTACCTTGGGTCTGTGGTAAGGCAGAGCATCATGGTGGAGCAAAGCTGCTTACCTCAAAGTTGCCAAGAAACAAAACAAAATCAAACACAAAAAGAGGAAGGGTCTGGGACCCCAGTAACTCTTTTAAGGGCATCTCCCAGTGACCTAACTTCCTTCCACTAGACCCCATCTTCTAAAGGTTCTACAATAGTACCACCAATTGACAACCAAAATTTTAACACATGGACCTTGGGAGAGACACTCCAGATCCAAGCTATAGCACCAAGTTAAAAGATAAATGACAGGGCTGGGGTTGTGGCTCAGCGGTAGAGCGCTCACCTAGCACGTGCGAGGCACTGGGTTCAATCCTCAGCACCACATAAAAATAAATAAAGTAAATATATTGTGCCCAACTATAACTAAAAAAAAAATTTTTTTAAAGATAAATGACAGAGTGATATTATCTATTTAGAGTCCCATTTATATGCTTATTGCTTTAATCCCATCTGAATCTTTGCTTACACCTAGTTTAAAATGTGCTTGCTTGCTTCTCTTTGTGTCCAAGTCCTGCTTTTTCTGAAGGCCCAATTTCTAGTACCATCTTATTCATGAAGTTTTCTTTTTCAGGACCTTTTAAATCTCATTAATTGAAAGTTTTCTGTTTTCCCAATGAAAAGATATCTGAATGTCTTAGTACTTGTTGTATCTGGCATAGAAATCCTGCCAATAATAGTGCTTAACAAGCATTTATTATCATTTTTTAAGAAGTATAGGAGTCATATAGTTCTAGAATATTCCTAGAAACACAGAGCCTAGCCTCATTGGCTTTTGAATGAATATTAAGAAAAAATCCAGTCATGTATCCAGTCTGCTTTATATTTTTGATAAATTTCTATAGTAAATAAAACAAAGGCTGTGAAATATCTTGTTTTATTTACTTTTAGCAGATGTAAAAATGATTAACTTTATTGCATATATTGATTTTTATAATTCTATTTTAGGTGGGTAGGGATCCCTCAATTCACATATGGGATACAGAGACTATTAAACCATTGTCAATATTAAAGGGCTACCACCAATATGGTGTCTGTGCTGTTGATTTCTCAGGTAAGCCTATTTTCTATTTCAATAAGAATGATCCAAATGCAGAGGCAATATGTAGAATTTTAATCTGAATCAGTGTTACCTAAGCTTGTGATTTAGCTATGTCCTTCACAATTTTTTTTCAAATGTGCATACTGTTGTTCTAATTAAACACAGCAGTGAAAGTATAGATTCATTGACTAGTGTCTAATTATAGTTCAATTAGTATGATTTTAATACCCTTTAAACTTTGTTAAAAACTTACCCTTTAAACTCTATTAAAATCAACACTTAAAATCAACTCAGTTACACTAAATGGTATGTATCTCTCCTTTTGGGCAAACTTCTGATTTCATCTTAATGTTTTATAGTTACAGAATAAACTTTGAAAATGCTAATGGTGAAAGGTTAAGAATGAAAGAAATTAGAACTGAAATATTTGTTTAAGACATTTCTATTAAGTGACAATTTCAGGCCACCTTATAATTTCAGAACATGCTTACACTTTTCAGTATGTTTAAACATTAGCAACTAAAGATAGGTCTATACTGAAAGCCAGGGTGTGGAGTAGGAAGAGGGAAGAAAATATCCTTAACAGAGAATTCTATATTAAATTAGTGCTTTTTTGCTATTCTGACTGAAGTGACAAGTTAACCATAAGTGAGATTTAGGAGAAAATATATATATACTTTCAAGGAGACTAATAGTCAAGAAACAAGTAAATGAATAACAGATTAAGTGGATCAACAATAAAAATGCCACTGGAAGTATTGAGGAACTAATTGAGGTTTACAAACGTGTGGCAAAATAGAAAACATTTTCTTATAGTCTAAGCCTTATAACCTGTGTATAAACACAGCCTGTCAGCCTGTCTCATTATTCATTTGTCTCAATGATTCATCTAATATACTCATTACTTGTTGCTTAATAACAAATAATTGACTTTCATTAAAAGCAGTAATACTAATGTTGACAGTATATTGTAACCTGTGTATTTTTCATTTAGCTTTTCATGATTACTGAGTTCTTATTATCACAACAGAATTCTTATGGTGAATTTAATGGAATCAAATCTTTTATTCCCCTCCTTTCTTAATTTATCTTTCCTTTTCATTTTTTTCCCTGCAGATTTTGTTTTGTTTTTAATTGACCTGTAACAATTGTACATGATCATGGGTATAGTGTGATGTTTTGATATGTGTAAACACTGTAACAATTATCTCAGAGTCTTTAGCCTATTCATCAATTCATACATTTATCACTTTCTCTTTCCCTTTCCCATCCCAATTAGTTGGACAGATAAAGCATAAGGTCAGGTGAGATAAAAAAGAAATTAATTTAGGTCACAGGTAGACCCATTGGTTCTGCCTCTGGTGAGAGCCCCATTGGCTGTGTCACAACATGATAGATGGCATCATGGTGGGAATGAAAGCAAGAAGGAGAGATCACGTGGTGAGATGGGAAGCCAGAGAGATTCAGGGGTCAAGTTTGCTGTTTTATAACAACCCATTATCATGGAACTCACTCACTCTGAAAGACCAGCATTATTCCTTACTGAGGGCAGAGCCCCCTATAACGTTTTTACCTCAAGGTAGGCCCCAACTGTGAAAGGTTCTATCAACTCAGTACCACCACACTGAGGACCAAGCCTCTAGCACCTGAAACTTGTAGGGAAACTACATTCAAATGACAACATTTAGCTTTAGAATACGTACAAAATGTTTGTCTTCTGAATGTAAATGGTCCGTAAGTATATCACTCTGATTAATTGTCACAGCGGATGGGAAACGTTTGGCTTCAGTTGGAATAGATGATAGCCACACCATTGTACTGTGGGACTGGAAGAAAGGAGAGAAACTTTCAATGGCAAGGTAAGGAAGTAACTTGATATGACAAAATACTAGAATTATTTTGGAATTAAAAACTTTAAAATAATTTTGAAATCAAGCAAATATGCTACCATCTTTTTTATCTTTGAATAAATAATATCAGGTAAAAGATAATTGATTTTATAATTTCTTTGTAAGCTGAGTCTTTATGAGAATTTTTAAAATATATTTTTAGTTATCAATGTATCTTTATTTTATTTATTTATATGTGGTGCTGAGGATCAAACCCAGTGCCTCACACACGCTGAGCAAGTGCTCTACCACTGAGCCACAACCCCAGCCCTGGACCCCTTTCCTTACTGTAACTATAATAAGGCTCTGAAAATAATAGTTACTTTAATTATCCATTTACAGGTAGAGTGAATTCTATATAATAGCCTATTAGACAGCAGTGTTATAACATAAACAGTGAACAGCCAAAATGTTTATATTATATATTTAAGTGAAAAAAGATATACCTATCATAAAGAAGTTATTGCAGTTTTTAATCTATTTTTCTTCACTCTAAATTTTCTATAATGAATATCTTGGTTTTTATTTTTAATTTTTTTATTATGATGAATCAGAAATATTCCTATGAAGAAACCTAAATTCCTAAGATGAAAATTAGAATTGTTTTACTAAAATTATATAATTTACAATTGAAAAGTTAATTATCTAAAATGATTAAAGATTGTTGGAAAAACTATGTTAAATTTTAATGAAATATTACTTAAATTCTTTAATTCATTTATGTCATAAGCTGTGTTCCTCATGCACAGTTGTAGGTATCATAGGTGCTACTCAAAAGAAGTTTTCACTGTTTCTATCTTTTGACAACCTGTTGAACAGAGTTGACATATTAAAATAATGACAAAGCCAGGTGCAGTGGCACATGCCTGTAATTCCAGCCACTCAGGAGGCTAAGGCAGGAGGATGCAAGTTGGAGACCAGCCAGATCAACTTAGTGAGCTCCTGTTTCAAAAAATAAAAAGGGCTGGGGATGTAGCTCTGTGGTATAACAGCCCCAGGTTAAGTTCATAGTACTGCCGAGAGAGAGAGAGAGAGAGAGAGAGAAAGAGAAACACACACACACAGACACACACACGCACACACACATAAAGTGAATATACAAATGCATGTCTTCACAGCCCAAACCCAAAGGACAAGTGGGAAATAGACATTCAGTAAAGTGAGAAGTAAAGATAGAGTATGGGAAAAGGTTGTTACAGGATAGCTTTGTCTTCAGAGCTAAAATTTTTTTATTTATTTCAGAGGAAGTAAAGATAAGATTTTTGTTGTTAAGATGAACCCCTACATGCCTGATAAACTGATTACAGCTGGAATTAAACACATGAAATTTTGGCGTAGAGCAGGTAAGGAAGTGTTTCATTTTACTTCTTTGAAAATTAAGAAACTGTTATTTTTTTAATATTTATTTTTTAGTTGTAGTTGGACATAACACCTTTATTTCACTTGTTTATTTTTATATGTGGTGCTGAGGATCGAACCCAGGGTCTCGCACGTGCGAGGTGAGCGCTCTACCGCTGAGCCACAACCTCAGCCCAAGAAATTGTTATTTTAAAAAGTAATTTAGCTAAGTGCAGTGTGGTATCCCAGACTGGATTCTGGAACAGAAAAGGGACATTGGTGGAAAAACTGGTGAAATCTGAATGAAACCTAGGGTTCAGTTAATAGTAATATATCAAAAATGATGGTTTCTTAGTTTTGACAATGGAATTGGAATAATAGAAGATGTTAACATTAGAGGAAACTGGATGGAGGCATATATGGGAACACTATGTTATCTCTGCATCTTTTTTGGAAATCTAAAATTTTCCAAGATAGATTTATTTTTAAGTGACTTACTGTTGTGTTGGTGCATTTTAAACAAAGATGCATTTATGTAATATTCATATTTGCAAAAGGAATTAACATATGAGATTAATCAGTTGGTTGTCTAGACTCCTTTCTTCTATTAAAAGACATGATTTATAGTTTAAACTAAAAATGAAAAATTATGTAAAAATTCTTTATATGATATAGAAACAAAATGTTCCTTTAATTTAGTCATTTGTAACTGTAAATTACAAATATAGAAGTTCACATCTTAAAATAAAAAATATTTTTTCTTTTCCAGATAGAATGAGTACATTTATAAAGTCCCAACAATGTCACATTGATGTCTCAATGAATTTAAATCTTTCACAGAAAATATGTAAATGTAGGAGGAAGAATAGGCTTAGTGAAGACATTTCCCAAGTTCAAGTACCTTTCAAGTTGTATTCTACATAGGAAATAAATTGATTCTTCTGATTTGGAGTTAATATTTTATCACAGATTTATCATAGTGTATGCATTTACAAAGGAAAAAGTATTTTCATGTTTATAATTTCATTTCCATATGATTGAACAAAATTTTCATTTGGACCTCTTAGTCACTTGAAATTGCAAATAGCCAGCAAATATTATTTAGCATTTCTCTTAAAAACAAAAACTATGAATTTGTTATTTTAAAGAAAGTAAATAGCCTTAAAATGAAAAGATATATAACTGAGTTACTTTCTTCCTTAAATTTGATTACACATATATTTGACCTGAACTTGAACCTGAACCGTATAAGGATAAATGTTAGGGTTTTAGTGCACATTTCAACCTTCATCACTTTTAGAGTTCTGATCCATGGAGTTCACTAGCCAAGTGGGAAATTAGTACCTATTTTCTTATTCTAAGTATTGTCTAACACTCTAAATGCATACTTTTAGGTAAATTAAGTTGAAGAAGGTGAATCAGACCTGAGGTTAAAATGGAGTCTCTCTTGCCACTTATCCCAAATCTAGACTGGGCATTCCAAGTTATGAATTATTGGTTTCTCCCTAAAGTATTTTAACTCTATTCCAAAGACAGGGAACCACTGAAAGTTTTTAAGTGTTAATGACATGGTCTTGTGCAATAGGAACATGTTATATTATATGTATCAGAAAACCTAACTATCAGTTATCTAAACCAGGAGTGAAAACTTTCTGCAAATGATCAGATAGGAAATATTTTAGGTTCTCCAGGTGAAAAGGACAAAAATGAAGAATATTCGTAGGTACTTAGAGAACAAGGGAAAAAATTGTCCTGTTTTGATTACCCTGTTTGTTCCCAATTGCTATGAATTGGAAATATACTCTTCAAAACTATACTATTGTAGGGAATGGGCCTAGTAGGTTGGGGTATGGTGTTAGTCAGCTTTTTTTTTTGACAGTGACCAAAATAACTGAAAAACAGCAACAACAACAACAAAAAAAAAAACTTAGAGGAGGAAAAGTTTAGTTTAGCTCACAGTTTCAGAGGCCTTACTTAGTCCATGGTGGCCGACTTTATTAATCTGGAATATCATAGTGGAAGGTAAGGCAGGGAAATCTGCTCAAGCCATGACAGCCAGGGAGCAGAGAGAAGGGGCTGAGGAGGAGATGAACCCTTGCAGGGTATGCTCCTGGTGACCTACTTCCTCCAACTATCTCCTAGTAGTTTATTCAGCTATCAATGGGTTTATCCATTTAATGAGGTCAGAGTCCTTATAATCTAATCATTGCTTGAAAGCCTCACTTATGAACCCTGCATCCCTAAAGACTATGCTTCTAACATATGAACTTTTAAGGACATTCCAGATCCAAATCATAACAGGTGGAGAAGTAGCCATGGGCAGCTTCACTCTGAAGCTATGTGTCCCAATGAAGCATAGATACCAATGTGTCTTCTTTCTGAGAGCCTGACCCTCTGAACTTAGGCAACTGGCCAAAGATGGGGGAAACTACTGGACTTATTCCACTGCTAGGTGCTTAGCAGTTGCCATTAGCAGAGTCTTCAGCGTATAGTTGGTGACCAGATCAGGCTCTAGACAGCTGTTAGCTGCAGCTGCAAATCAAACAGGCTTTCTGTGGCTCTAGTGCTAACCTCCTCCAGTGGAATTTAAATAAAATAGATGGCCACAGAATTTGGCCCATAACCAGTTGTTTGCTGACCCCATTCTAGACAGATAGTCTGTGCTGTAATGAAGCGCAGTTGCCCTACCTGTGCACTAGATTCCTTCTCTCGTCTACTCAAGGACACCACTCCAGTTCTTTCCTTTCTGACTTTCCCTTCAGCATGTAAGTCTGGTATTATTTCCTTATCTTTTTTTTTTTTTTTTTTTTGGTACTTGTGATTGAACCCAGGGATGCTTAACCACTGAACAACATCCCCAGCCCTTTTATTTTTTATTTTAAGACACAGTTTTGTAAGTTGCTGAGGCAGGCCTCAAACTTGTAATCCTCCTGCTTCAGCCTCCTGAGTCACTAGGATTACAGGTGTGTGCTACTATGCCCGGCCATTTCTTCATCTTGAATAAATGAAACAAACCTTTCAATTCTGTTCTCTAGTTGCTAATCAGTCTCTCTTGTTTCCTATATACTGAAGCACCTCCAAACAGTTATGTGCTTTCACTTTATAGTTACTCCTCTTTCTCTTAAGAGAAATCTAACCTTCACCACGTCATCTGACTGCTCTTGAAGTGTTATTAATGACTCTGCTTGTTGGTTTTCTGAATACTTTCAGAATCTGACCACTTTTCATCTTCTAGGCTACCACCCTGGTCCTTGCCTCCTTAATCATTTAGTCAGATGATTGAAATAGACATATAACTTTTTATCCCCCTCATCCTTCAATCTGTTCTCAACCCAGAAGTCAAAATTAATTTTAATAAGTCATATGCCAGATCTTATCATTCTACTACTCAAATATTTTCCATCTCATGCAAAGTAAAAGCTATACCCTTATAGTGGCCTGCAAAACACCCTCTGACCCATCTCCTAGTATTGTTTCTCTTTCTTTTTTAAAAAATTTAATTAATTAATTAATTTTACAGTAGAATGCATTTTGACACATAATACACAAGTGGAACACAATATCTCATTCCTCTGGCTGTACATGGTTCACAGTCACTCCACTAATGTAATCATACATATATATATAGGGTAATAATGTCTGTCTCTTTCTACCATCCTTCCCACCCCCACAAGCCCACCCCTCCCCTGACTCCCCTCTATACAAACCAAAGTTCCTTCATTCTTTCCTATCCCCCTGCCCCACTGTGGATCAGCATTCGCTTATCAGCTTTTGGTTTTTTGGGATTGGCTTATTTCACTTAATGATATTCTCTAGTTCCATCTATTTACCTGCAAATGCCATAATTTCATTCTTCTTTAAGGCTGAGTAATATTCCATTGTGTATACGTACTATATTTTCTTTATCCATCCATTCTTTATCCAGGTTGAAGGGCACCTAGGTTGGTTCCCTAGTTCAGCTATTGTCAATTGAGCTGCTATAAACATTGATGTGGCTGTGTCACTGTAGAATGCTGATTTTTAAGTTTTCTGGGTATAAGACTGGGATATCTGCGTCAAATGGTGGATCCATTCCAAGTTTTCTGAGGTATCTCCATACTGCTTTCCATAGTGGTTGCACCAGTTGCAGTCCCACCAACAATATATGAGTGTACCTTTTCCCCCACATCCTTGCCAATACTTTTTATTGCTTGTAAACTTGATGATTGCTGTTCTGACTAGAGTGAGATGAAATCTTAAGAGTAGTTTTTACTTGCATTTCTCTAATTACTAGAGATAATGAACATTTTTTCATATGTTTGTTGATTGGTTGTATTTCTTCTTCTATAAAATGTCTATTCAGTTCCTTAGCCCATTTATTGACTGAGTTATTTATCTTTTTTTGGTGTTACGCTTTTTGAGTTCTTTATATATCCTGGAGATTAGTGCTGTGTCTGAGGTACCTGTAGTAAAGACTTTTTCCCATTCTGTGGGCTCTCTCACCACATTATAGATTGTTTCCTTTGCTGATAAGCAGCTTTTTAGTTAGAATCTAGCCCACATACTGATTCTTGATTTTACTTCTTGTGCTTTAGGAGTCTTGTTCAGGAAGTCAGATCTTAAGCCAACATGATGAAGATTTGGGCCTACTTTTTCTTCTGTTAGGTGCAGGGTCTCTGTTCTAGTGTCTAAGACTTTGGTCCACTTTGAGTTGATTTTTGTGCAAGGTGAGAGATAGATGTTCAATTTCATTCTGCTACATTTGGATTTCCAGTTTTCCCAGCACCATCTGTTGAATGGGCTCTCTGTTCTCTAATGTATGTTTTTGATGCCTTTGTCTAGTATGAGATAGTCATATTTATGTGGGTTGGTCTCTGTGTCTTTTATTTTGTACCACTGGTCTACATGTCTGTTTTGGTACCAAAACCATGCCATTTTTGTTACTGTTGCTCTGTGATATAGTTTAAGGTCTGTGATGCCTCCTGCTTCACTCTTCTTGCTAAAGATTGCCTTGGCTATTCTCGTTCTCTTATTTTTCCAAATGAATTTCATGATTGATTTTTCTAGTTCTATAAAGAATGTCATTGGGATTTTTATAGTAACTGCATTAAATCTATATAACAGTTTTGATAGTATGGCCATTTTGACTATATTAATTCTGCCTATCCAAGAGCATGGGAGATCTTTCCATCTTCTGAGGTCTTCAATTTCTTTCTTTAGTGTTCTGTAGTTTTCATTGTAGGGGTATTTCACCTCTTTTGTTTGGTTGATTCTGAAGGTGGTTTTTTTTTAGGCTATTGTGAATGGGGTGGTTTTTCTAATTTCTCTTGCAGTGGATTCATGTATAGAAATGATTTATGGGTATTGATTTTATATCCTGCTACTTTGCTGAATTCATTTATGAGTTCTAGAAGTTTTCTGGTGGAATTTTTTGGATCTTCTAAATATAGAATCATTTCATCAGCAAATAGTGGTAGACTGAGTTCTTCTTTTCCTATGCATATTCCTTTAATTTCTTTCTTATTGCTCTAGCTAGCAATAAGGACTATGTTGAATAAAAGTGGTGAAAGAGGACGTCCCTGTCTTGTTCCAGTTTTTAGGGGGAATACTTTCAGTTTTTAGGGGGAATACTTTCAATTTTTCTCCATTTAGAATGATGTTGGCCTGGGGCTTAGCATAGATAGCTTTTACAATGTTGAAGTATGTCTCTAGTTTTTCTAGTGTTTTGAACATGAAGAGGTGTTGTATTTTGTCAACTGCTTTCTCAGTATCTATTGAATGATCATATAATTCTTGTCTTTAATCTCTTACTTTCTTTGCTACTCTTCATTTCTCTCCTGATTGATCCTTAAAGATTCTAGTCACATTCTTGCTTTGGGGCCTTTGCACTTGCTGTTCCTTCTGCCTGAAACACTATTCTAACTCAGCTTGCTCTTGCTACCTCCTTCAATTCTACATTCAGATACCACCATCATGATAAGGCTTTCCCTTCACACCCTTACAATGGACTCCTCAAACTTCTTATATCCTTTTTAGGCTTACATTTTTTCCAAAGCACCCATCATTACCTAATTTATTGTACATTTTACTTAATTGTCATATTCATTAACTGTCCATATAAAGTTCACAAAACCAGAGAATTTTGTTGTCTGTTTTGTTCTTAGCTCTACTTCCAGTGCCTTGAACAGTGTATGGCATGTGTATGTCTTAAATAAATGAATGAATGAGTTCAATTGGAAAAAATGGACAAAAGATATCAATAGGTGATGAATAACAAATAAAAATATGAAAATATGATCAAATTCATTTATGCTAACAGAAATGTAAATTAAGACCACAATAAAATTCACTTGATATTTCACATTCCATTTTTTGACAATACCTAGTGTTCCTAAATGTGGGAAACAACAGGAACTCTTTTCACAGTTACTAGAAGTGGAAGTTGGTATATTGAACTGGGAGAAAAATTTACAAAGAAGAGCTGGGGCTACTCTTATTTAAATTGCTCCTTTTGCACATTATTCTATGACTACTCCTACTCATTCCTCGAGCTACTCTTACAATTGTATAGAAGAGATCCTTATAAGAATGTTTAAGGCAGATTTGTTTTCAATAGCAAAAATGAGAAGCAACTTAAATACTTGTTAATAAAAAATGAATAAACGAATGTTTGTGTAATGAAATAAATCCATAGTTATGAAAATGTTTTCTAGAAGTAAAAATCAACTTGTATAAAACTGACAAATCCTTGGTGAATAAAGCATGTTGCAAAAGAAAACATACAAGATGATATTTATAGAAAATTTTGAAATGTGAAAAATCATATGACACATGACTCAAGAATTAATAAATACATAATAAGATGTATAAAGGAATACAGGAGAATGATCAACTTTACATTCAGAATAGTAGTATGTGAAGAAGGGATATAGGATTGGCATGACATGTCACTTGGTTTGGTATATTTTTGTATTTTGATAGAGGATATACAGGTGTTTGTTGTGTTGGTACAAAAAATATCTTTTGTATTCTTAAATATGTCATACTAAAAATTTTGTAAAATATTATCAAAAATGCTGAAGACTTATTAATACTGACTTAGGCCATGTCTTATTTATCAAAAAAACTATGGCCTAAAATACACCATGCAAGGTGGTATCTGAATTGCTGATTAAGAGATCCATATTTCTCTTTTTAATTCTTCTTACTGTTACATGTCTTTCTACTCAAACAACAATAGTAGAAAAGAAACTGTACTTTATAATTGTGTATATTTTGAAAGTGGTACTTTTGTAATATTTTTTATGAACCAGGGGGAGGATTGATTGGAAGAAAAGGCTACATAGGCACATTGGGGAAAAATGACACAATGATGTGTGCAGTGTATGGATGGACTGAAGAGATGGCTTTTTCTGGAACATCCACAGGAGATGTGTGTATCTGGAGAGATGTCTTCCTTGTAAAAACAGTTAAAGCACATGATGGGCCTGTGTTCAGTATGCATGCACTGGAAAAAGTAAGTAATTTAAAGAGATTTCAAATTAAACACAATCTGATCATGGCATATAGAGCATTTTCAGAAGTATAGGAACCCTGCTGTTCTTCTTGGCTGGACTACCCAATTATAGTCTGTGGGACAGGGTCTTTTGACATTGGTTTGTTCCTTTCTTCAACTTCATAAACACAGATTGAAATAGGTCAACATTTTGAAAAAATGTTTAACTTAATATTTATTAATCCCTTACTAGTTGTCAAAAATTGTTTTACATATAATCATTATATCCTATCAGGTGGATACCAGTATTATTCCTTCTTTGTAAAGACTGAAGTTAAAAAGACTCCAGGAGAATATATGTGACTTTCTGAAATTGGTGATCTAACTCATAATTCCAAATTAGTATTAGTATTATTAGTATCCTATACTAATAGTAGAATGTTTATTATTTTAAGTATTTTTACAGATTTAATGTCAATTCTTTAAAAGCTGTTATGGATTCTTATCTAATTCCTGTTATTTGCAAGCTGTAACTTTTGTCTGTAGTCTTTCCTCTAGAGTTTTCCAATATGAAGGAGGTTATTATTTTTTAAAATATTTAAATCTTTAATAATTTGAATATTTTATTTTCATAGGGATTTGTAACTGGAGGAAAAGATGGTATAGTAGCTCTTTGGGATGACTCTTTTGAAAGATGTCTCAAGACCTATGCTATAAAAAGAGCTGCTTTGGCCCCAGGATCCAAAGGTGATTTGAGATTTAATTTATTTGTAAAAAAAGAGATCAATTGTTCATTAGTTAACTTGATTATTGAGGTGGACCACATGGAATATATTTTTCCTTCTTTATTCAATGGGCATCAGATTTAATTGGGACTTACTTGATACCAGAATCATTGCTATTCTTTCAAAAATATGTTTTCTGAGATACATGTAATAAAATATTAGCCAAGTACAATTTTATCAATATTAACTTTTAATATTTTTAATTTTTCAAAGGAAATTTCCATGTGAGCATCATATTTATCATCAGCCAGGAACTTGTTTTCTGACTTGGCTTTTTTTTTCATCATGGCTTTTTGTTGACCCTGCTACTTTACCTCACAGGCCCTTCTTCCCTTTGCCTTTACTTTCAATGCACTTCTTCCGTTAAGGCACTATGCCACGCTCTGTCTGGCCTCCAGACTTTTGGCATATTAGTTTTGCCTAGAATTTATTCTTCCCTCTTCCTCCATTTCCTAATTACATTCTCATTTTTCAAATCTCAAACACTAGTTCTTCTAGGATGACTTCCCTATCCTCACCTCCCCACAAAAAGGTGAAAATTCCTTGCTATATGCTCCTTTTTGAATATGTTCCTAACACAGGGTCTGTTTTCCTCACTGTATGCTATAAAGGGGAGGAGTTAGGTTTGTCATATTTACTAATATATCACTGAAGCCTGTGTAGGACACAGTAGACATGAAAGAATATATTTTACATTGAATTAAAATTGCTAATCAGAATAGTGTAAGTGTTCTAAGAGGGGCAGGAGATTGATGAGGAAGGGCTAACACAGAAGTAAAGAAAGAGTTGTCAGGGGTTAGGGTATAATTCAGTGATAGAACACTGACATAGCATATGTGGAATACTGAGTTCAATCTCCAGTACCTTAAAACAACAACAACAAAAACAATAAAATTCTACTATATTTGTGTACTTCTTTTGAAATTAATAAATCGATTGAAGGAACTATAGTGCATTATTAGAATTCTTGAAATACAGGAGAAATCAACCTTGTATGGGTTCATTGTCAAAATAACTGTCACGAGCTGGGGTTGTGGCTCAGTGGTAGAGTGCTTACCTGCCATGCCTAAGGCACTGGATTCGATCCTCAGCACTACATAAAAATAAAATAAAGATATTGTGTCCACCTATAACTAAAAAAATAAATATTTTAAAAAATAGTAGTGTCACAATACGTCCTTTTATTAATAACTTCATACATATAATAACATCTCATTTTAACATTTCAGGTCTTCTCTTGGAAGATAACCCATCTATACGTGCCATATCATTAGGCCATGGTCATATTTTAGTTGGCACAAAGAATGGTGAAATATTAGAAGTGGATAAAAGTGGCCCAGTAACACTTCTGGTCCAGGTACTTTGAAATACTAATATGCTTTTTTCTCTTTACATAGAATTTATTCTTTCATTACATAAGAAAAGTTGACAGTGGTGAAAAATAATGTTAATTAGGGAAATATTTGTTAATATGTAAAGAAAAATTTTAATTTGGTTATCACTAATATCAGTAAATAAATATTCATATTCTCATATGGAATAATTGCCAATATTTTGAGTTAATTCTTATCACAAAATAAACCAATAGAAAAACTGGCTGTTAAGAATTTAGCCCAGCACATTTATTTCAGATTTAATTTTATCTATTTGAGATATGTTTGTTTAACATAAGGCAGTTATTTTTCTGTGAAGCTCTGTAGATGAGTCATTGTTAGTTTCTAACTTAAAAAAAATGAGGGCTGGGGTTGCGGCTCAGTGGTAGAGCACTCGCCTCGAACATGGGAGGCTCTGGGTTCTATCCTCAGCACCACATACACATATCAACTATAGCTAAAAATAAATAAATAAAAATATTTTTAAAAATGAGTGTATAACTGTATGATAAAATTTTATTGCTGAAAACATTTATTAGTCAAAGTATGTCAATAATAAAACAGAAAATCAGAAATATAAAAATCTGTGTAGTAGAAATATAAACATACCAGCAATAGCTGTTGGTCATATGGCCCTTAACATTTCCATAGAGTGGCATGTAAGGTTTTTACATGTACATTTCTTTAGTGTATTATATTTTTCTGAAAAGGAGGGAAATAGATCAACACTGTAAAACATAGTGAGGTTGGCTCTATCCTGATGAAAAACTGTCCTTATGCAATTCTATATAGTAATCAAACTTTGGTTTGCCTTTTACTCTGAAAAAGAATTATTTTCTTTCTTAATACTCACTTATCTCTCTTCTAACCTCCACTTCACTCTTGTTAAGACAGCAAAAAGTACACATAGATGAGAACACTGCACATTCTTTAATGCTTTATTATATTATTAATATGACATTAAAGAATAAATATGCAAATGATAAAACATTAAATTAATGCTATCTTACTCAATTTCAGTTTATAAATGCCTTTGAAATTAAAAATGGAGTTATAATAAATGTTTTTAGCAATAAAATTTTATCATATGGTTATACACTCATTTTTCTGTGTTTAATATGTTTATGATATCTTAGGAAATATTAGCACAAGTACCCTCTGATGGATGAATTCAGAGATGGAATTTTAAAAAACCACAGTTTCATAATTATAAAAAAAATTAAGTACTAAATGATATTTATTAAGAGAAATACTTTAGGCAAAATAAAATTAGCAGAGTGTATTTGAACATTAAAATATTCGTGAATTGGACAGCATCTGAAACCAGAAGAGGTTCAGCAGAATCTGCTGCAGGAGCACAGGCAGCGAGCTTTTACAGACAATGTGGACAACAAAGATCTAGTTGATTGGTTAGAGTGGGAAAACCTTAATTAGAGATTAGTTGGCTGTTTCTGATTGGTAAAGTATCTAGTTTCACTTTATTTTGTACATGGGGCTTTGGTTATCTTACATAGGCACCTAAAGCACTGAAGCTATCCCAGCCTAAATGACCTCCCAATTAAAATTTTTTTGTTTTTGTTTTTGTTTGGTACTGGGGATTGATCTCAGCGGCACTCAACCACTGAACCACATCCCCAGCCCTATTTTGTATTTTATTTAGAGACAGGGTGTTGCTGAATTGCTTAGTGCCTCGCCATTGCTGAGGCAAGCTTTGGACTGAAGATCCTCCTGTCTTGACCTCTCAAGCCACTGGGATTTAAAATTGTTTTTAATACATTGTGGGGGGGCGGGGGAGGCTGGGAATTAAACTCAGGGCCTGACACATGCTGAGCATGTGCTCTAACCACTAAGCTATACACCCACCCAATTTCATTATTTGGGGTATTTATTATAAATTTAAGATTTCATTGTCTTTTTATTTTGAAATCAGGAACAAGGGAAGATGCCACATTACCATTTTTGTCCAATATGGGTAAAACCTTAGCCAATTCAGTAAAACAAATCAATAAAAGTGTAAGTGCTAGAAATAAATGGACAACGGTGGTATTTTTAGATACAACAAATTTGTATATCAAGAATAAACTGAAAAATTGTTGGAAATAATGTTTAGATACAAAATCAGCATATAAAAATCAATAGTATTTATGTAGCAGCAATAACAAGTTTGAAAATATGACATAAAACATGCTGTTCAGGGCTGGGGTTGTGGCTCAATAGTAGAGTGTTTGCCTAGCATGCATAGGGCACTGGATTCAATCCTTAGCACCACATAAAAATAGAATAAAGATATTGTGTCCACCTAAAAACTGAAAAATAAATATTTAAAAAAAACATGCTGTTCATATAAAACAACTACATAGTAACCCAGAATTTTGTAGTTAAACTATCCAAGAAAAAATAAATGATAGATTCAATATGATTCAATATGATTACAATTCAAACTTTAATGAGATTTTTCACAAATTCTAGAAAGATTTTTTAAGATCATCTAGAGGAGAAAAGAAGATCAAGAAATCTTTGAGAAATTCTCCAGGAAAAATAAAAAAGATAATATAAAACTATAGTAATTAAAAATGTGGGAATGTTTATACCTAATGTAAATGTTAAATAGTTAAAAAAAATATGACGATTGTAGCAGCACTGTCTGTAGATCAGTTTAGGGATTCATCCTAACAAGATTAAGTCTTCCTACCTATGAATATGGGATAGCTCTCTATTTATTTAGACCTTTTCTTTTTTCAGAAGGGTTTTGTGATTTGCAGTATACAAGTCTTATACCTATTTTGTTCAATTTATTTCTAAGTATTTTATTATTTGTAATACCATTATACAGTTCTTTTTAATTTTGTTTTCAGATTGTTCATTACTAGTGTAGAGAAATACAGTTGATTTCGTACATAGCCTATAATATAGCCTATAATAGGACCTTATATCCAATAAATTTGTTGACTTCATTTATTATAATAGTTTAATAAGTAGATTATTTAGGATTTTCTATATATAAGATCATGTCATCTGTAAGTAGAGATAGTTTTATTTCCTTGTATTCAATCTGATTGGCTTTTATTTCTTTTTCTTGCCCTATTGTCCTGGCTAAAGCTTTCAGTATAATGTTTAAGTGGTTAGAAAAGACACCTTTGTCTCGTTCCTAATCTTAGAGAAAAAGAATTCAGCTTTCCACCATTAAGTATAAGGTAACCACGGCTTTTTCATAGATTCTCTTTACTCGGTTGAGAAACCTTCTTATTCCTAGTTTTTTCTAAACATTGGTAGGGAGGGATTTATCTTACACTTTTTCCATGTATACTCAGATGATCATATGGTTTTTGTCCTTGGTTCTATTAATGTGACATATTATCTTAACTGATTTTTGAATTTGGCAATCTTGCATTCTTAGTTGTATAAAAATCTTTCCATATGTTTAATTCAGTTTGCTAGGATTTTGTAGAGGGTTTTAGAATCCACCTTTTTAAGGGATATTAGTCTGTAGATTTCTTGTGATGTCTTGGTAGATTTCTTGTGATGTTTGGTTTTGGTATCAGAGTGAAATGGCTTTATAAAATCATGTAGGAAGTATTACCTGTACTTTGTCTCTTGCCTTGACCACACTTAACTGTTAAACTCCTTTAATTACTGACTGACTGCTCTATTCTTTTCAATACTTTCTTGAAGTATAAATTGTTCCACAGACTAAACCAATCAAATTTGACTCCTTTAAAGGAGCATTTCCCTAGGTTTGTAGTGACTTCAACAAAGATCCTCCTAGCTACTTCTGAGAGTTCTCTGGTTCCTTTGGACAAACTAGGTGGTCTCTAGTTTAGATTCATATGTCATATGATTCTATAAATCTCCTTCTGTTTACTTTTCATCACAACCTCCACAGTTTTTTTGTGGGTTTTTTTGTTGGTGGTGGTTTGTTGTTGTTTTACTAGAAATTGAACCCAGGGCCTAACATGCTAGTCAATTGCTCTACCATTTTGCTACATCCCCATTCCTTTTTATTTTGAGACAGGTTTACAGTAAGTTACCCAAGCTTGAACTTGCAATTCCTCCTGACTTAGCTTCCTGCGTAGCTGGGATCACAGGCATACACTGACACTTCCATCCCTCCACTGTTTTTGAGAGAATTCCTAGTCATTAACTTTTCTCTGCTTTGCTATAAATAAAGTCAATTCTTTTGAGATTAGGAGGTTTTTTTTTTTTAATTCGTTTGTTTTACTTTGTTTTGTTTTGTTTTTGTTTGTTTGTTTGTTTTGACTTGCTTCTCCCTTCAGGGAAAATATCTGAGTCAGGGCTCTTGAATTGAGAATAAGACAGGCTTTAAGGCTGAGTGTTTGGTAAAGAGAGAAAGGGCAATAGTCTAAGGTCTTCTTAGGTTTTCTTGGGTTTCCACTAGGACACCAGTGGTGGAGTTTCCATATGGAGTAGGGGCTGGGGAGAAGGGAACTTCTGCCTGTCAGTCTGCTCACCAGGAATTCAGCCTCCACAACTGACAGCTTAGACAAGATAAGGAATGCCTGACTTGGTACCCTCACTGGGTAGACAGCTCTTCTGCTGGGAACGGTGGAGACAGCCAGGTGTTCTTGTTTGTATCAGTCCAGCATGAAGTTTTGGGAGGAGGGACAAAGCACTGGATCTCAGTTTAAATACCATAGATTCTCACTGTTCTTACCAAATTTTAGCAGATTTTTTATGAATAAATGTTTCTTCATTTGTTGTATCTCCTCAAAACCATTTCCAAACTTTAAATGGTTGGGTTTTTAATTTTTTAATATCAGTTTTACTGGTAACCAGGTGTGTAGAGCTCCTGTCATGCATATATTTTTAGGTTAAATTGATACTGTTTTCTTTATAGGGACACATGGAAGGAGAGGTATGGGGTTTGGCTACACATCCTTATCTGCCGATCTGTGCTACTGTAAGTGATGATAAAACCTTAAGAATATGGGATCTCTCTCCTAGTCATTGTATGTTGGCTGTCCGGAAACTGAAAAAGGGTAAGAGGCTCTCAGACTTGAACATAGATTAAGTTATAGCCATTTTCTAACCTTTATAAATATAAAAAAGCGATAGTTAGGTACATGAAAATTTTTAAAATATTTATTCAGTGTCTACTTACTCATGGTGCGCATAAAGAAAATTAATTATGCCCATTCTTTGCATTATGGAACCTTCTATGATCATACCTAAACCCAGCTAATTTTTCAATGACATGTTAGAAGACAGAATATAGGAAGTAAATGGAAATTAAGTTTTTCTCCCCCTTGCAATTATGGATTATATGTAATTTAGAACTGGAAACTAAGAAAGAAGGCCTTCACTTTAAAAGAGGTAGCAGAGGTAAGGGAAGGCTGTTTGAGGATAAAACAAAACTGAGTATATTTGTAAGAGGCAGATGAAACTGGTAGTATATAGAGAGAAATGGTTCAGTTGTTGGTAAAAAAGTTGTTATTAACCTAGGGCAGATGGAGATTTACAGAGAGCTCTGAAATTCTTTTGAGTGGTAGAGAATGTTATCTTCTAGAATGGAGATAACCATAGGAGGACTTTCCCTGGAAATGTTGGGAACAAGTTACTGTAAGAAATGTGATAGAGCCAATAGATGAAGGAAAGGATTGTCTAGCCATAGTAAAGGCCAGATTGGAGTTAGGTAGCATGAATTTATAATTCATTCTGTTAATTTCTTTTTACTTCCTTCTATTGACTTGAAACTTAGTGTTTATTCTCTTCTTTTAGAGTTATTATTAAATATTTAACAAGTACACTCAGTTCAAAAACTGAATATCACAATCTATAGAATAGTCTAGTTCTGGTCACTTTACTCCCCCATTTTTTAATTACTGATGTCCAGCAGTTTCATTCTCTGTTGGTTTTTTTCCTCCTACAACTACCTTCAGTTGGCATTATTATTCTTTTATGCAGTCGTTATTTATTTAGATTTATTTATACCTATACTTTCTTTGTTCATCTTTTCTTCTTGCATCTCAGACTTGTTACTTTATAGTTTTCTTCCTCCTAAAATATATCCTTAGAGTTTCTCTAATGAAGGTTTGTTAAAAATTCCCTCAGTTTCCTTGATCTGAACCAGAGACATACTAAGGGCAGGCTGCTGGGAATGGTCCAAAACACAGTGATGGTTATTCACATTTATTATTGTTGTGTTTAACTTCTCAATTGGCTATGTATTGCACATGGAGTGAATTTTTATCCTCATCCTGCCCATGGTATACCACTAGTCTGAACATATCTTGATATTTTACTCTCATTCTTAAATACTAATAGAACTTCTTCTGACTTTTTTGGTTGAAAGCATTCTGCTTTCTGCCACTTTCTTTAATTGTTATATAGGTATAGTTAAATAGCATTGTGCATGTATATGGGTTTACTTTTATTTATTCAGCTTAAGATTTGTTGTGTTTTCTGAATCTGGATTTATGTATTATATCAATGCTAAAATAAAATTGTCTGCTAGTATTAGTGGCTTCTTCTATGACTAGATCTCTGAATTAAGTTGAAAGCAAAATTCATGATTCTGTATTCTTTCTGAAAGAATCAGTAAGCAAATACTCTTTTCTTTAGCAAATGTATATACAAGTATCATAGTTGTGAGCGTTAACATTTTATAAAAATAAGTCATTATGGTTAAAATAGACTGTTCTTAGGAAAATTTCTGGCAAACAAGTTTATGGAAGCCAGTTAAAATAAGCAAAAGTGTAAATATGCATGATTTAATGTTTATAATGCCTGTGAAGAAAAATATTTGCCAGACTTTTGTAACTTTAGTGTATAATTACACATTGGATAGTTCCCATTAAAAACTTGTATCCTAGCTGTGTGCAGTGGTGCATGCCTATAATCCCAGCATCTCAGGAGACTGAGGCAGGAGGATTGAAAGTTCAAAACCAGCCTCAACAAAAGTGAGGCACTAAGTCTGGGGTTGTGGCTCAGTGGTAGAGTGCTTGCCTAGCATGTGCAAGGCCCTGGAATCGATCCTCAGCACCACATAAAAATAAGTAATAAAACAAAGGTATTGTGTCCAAGTACAACTAAAAAAAAATATATATTTAAGAAAAAAGTCAAGGAGATCCACCCACACTGGCCCATGCGGGATCCAGGCTCTCAGTAGGCCTGGTTCACCCATCCCCTGGCGGGGCAGATACCACCAGAGCCTAGCCTTTGGCCCCTTGCCCCTTCCAACCAGCAGACTACCAGGGGAGGTCAAGCCCAGCAGCCAAGATCCACCCATTCCAACTTACACAGGACCCAGACACAGGATGCAGTAGCATTCATTGAGGGACACAAGCAGGGTCTGGAAGCCCAACATCAAGGTGAGATACAGACAATCTGCACAGGTACTACAAGAATATAGGGAAGAGACTGTAATATTTCATATCCACACTACAAGAAAGGAAGACACATAGACAACATGAAAAAACAAGGGAGGAAAGTGCCCCAAACAAATTAGGACACTATAATAACAGAACCTATGGACAGCAGCGAAGTTGATGAAATGTCAGAGAAGGAGTTCAGAAGGTTCATAATTAAAATGATCTGTGAATTAAAGAATGACCTAAACGAGCAAATATAGGCAAAAATTGATCACTCCAACAATGAGATAAGAGAGCAAATACAGGTAGCAAAAGATTACTTCAAGAGAGAGATAGAGACCCTGGGAAAAAAGTCAGAAATCCTTGAAATGAAGGATACAATAAATCAAATTTTAAAAACTCAATAGAAAGCATAACCAACAGACTAGATCACTTGGAAGAAAGAACATCAGATAATGAACACAAAGGGGCATATATATGTATAATTGTTAAAGTCTTGTTGGTGCATGGTTCCCTTGAGCAGTATGTAGTGTCCTTCTTTATCCTTTTTGATTGACTTTACTTTGAAGTCAACCTGGAAAATAAGTTGATCACACAGTGAAGAAAGTTAGAAACCATGAACAGAACATCCAAGAATTATGGGACAGTATCAAAAGACCAAATCTAAGAGTCACTGGGACAGAGGAAGGCACAGAGTTTCAAACCAAAGGAATGCACAATCTCTTCAATGAGATAATATCAGAAAATTTCCCAAGCATGAAGAACGAATTGGAAAACCAAATACAAGAGGCTTATAGCACACCAAATGTATAAAATTACAATAGATCTACACCAAGGCACATTATAATGAAAATGTCTAGCATACAGAATAAGGATAGAATCTTAAAAACCACAAGAGAGAAGAATCAGATCACATATAGGAGGAGAACAATTTGTGTCTCAGCAGATTTTTCAACCCAGACTCTCAAAGCCAGGAAATCTTGGAACAACATATACTAAGCTCTGAAAGAAAATGGATGCTAACCAAGAATCTTATAACCAGCAAAACTAAGCTTTAGATTTGATGATGAAATAAAAAACCTTCCATAATAAATAAAAGTTAAAAGAATTTACAGCAAGAAAGCCTGCACTACAGAACATCCTCAGCAAAATATTTCAAGAAGAGGAAATGAAAAACAATGATGAAAATCAGCAGAGGGAGAGATTATACTAAAGGAATATCTAATCAGAGGAGAAACCAAGTCATGTTAAATACCAAAAATAAACAAAAATGGCTGGGAATACAAATCATGTCTCAATAATAACCCTGAATGTTAATGGCCTAAACTCACCAATCAAGACATAGACTAGCAGATTGAACAACAACAACAAAAAAAGACCCAACAATATGTTACCTCCAAGAGACTCGTCTCATAGAAACAGACATTCACAGACTGAAGGTGAAGGGTTGGGAAAAACCATACCATTTATATGGACTGTGGAAGCAAGCAGGGATGTCCACCCTCAAATCAAATAAAGTAGACTTCAAAGTAAAGTCAATCAAAAAGGATAAAGAAGGACACTACACACTGCTCAAGGAAACCATACATCAACAGGCTTAACAATTATAAATATATATGCCCCAAACAATGGAGCAACTATGTTCATCAAACAAACTCTTTTCAAGTTCAAGAGTCAAATAGACCACAACCCAATAATTTTGAGTGACTTTAACATACCTCTTTCATTACTAGATAGATCTTCCGAACAAAAGCTGAACAAAGAAACTATAGAACTCAATAATACAATCAGTAATTTAGACTTAACTGACATATATAGAATATTTCCATTCTTCAATGAGAGAATATACTTTCTTCTTAGCAGCACATGGATCCTTGTCTAAAATAGACCAAATACCTGCCACAAAGCATCTCTTAGCAAATATAAAAAAGTAGAAATACTACCCTGCATTCTATCAGATCATAATGGAATGAAATTAGAAATCAATGATAAAATAAAAAATAAAATCTACTCCAACACCTGGAGACTAAATAATATGCTGCTGAATGAACAATAGATTACAGAAAACATCAAGGAGGAGATTAAAAAATATTAGAGGTGAATGAGAACACAGATACAACATATCAAAATCTCTGGGACATTATGAAAGCAGTTCTAAGAGGAAAGTTCATTGCATGGAGTTCATGCCTTAAAAGAAGAAAAAGTCAACAAATAAATGACTTAACACTACATCTCAAAGCCCTAGAAGAAGAAGAACAAATCAAAAACAAAAGCAGCAGAAGACAGGAAATAATAAGGATGGTGGAATGTGATAGACATCATTATCCAAAGTACATGTATGAAGACATGAATTGGTATCAATATACTTTATATATAACCATAGATATGAAAAAATGTGCTGTATATGTGTAATAAGATTTGTAATGCATTCCACTGTCATTAATTTTTTTAATATTTATTTTTTAGTTTTAGGTGGACACAGTATTTTGTCTTTATGCGGTTCTGAGAATCAAACCCAGTGCCCCACGCGTGCTAGGCAAGCGCACTACCACTTGAGCCACATTCCCAGCCCTGTCATTTATTTATTTTTTTTAAATCAGAGCTGAAATCAATGAAATTGAAACAATTGAAAAAACTGACAGAACAAAAAGTTGGTTCTTTGAAAAAAT